CTTAGGGATGTGCGGGTAGGTGCGCGGCGCGGCGCGGCTGGAGGAAGGGGTGTCGGGGCCCTGGCTCGCTGCGCACGCCCCGCAGGGAGGGGAGCCGGGGCCGCACGGATTCGCTGCTGTCCCTTCCCCGGGGCCGCCCCGCTCCGCGGGAGGGTCGTGCCCGGCTGCTCCGGCGGCTTGTTCTACAGGAGCCTCCTGAGATGGGAGCTGCTGCCCTCAGTCCGGAGTGTGGAGCCCTCCCCCGTGTCCCGCTGCTCCGAGTCGTCCGTGTAATCGCTGAGGTTTTGTTTTCGGTCTGTTTCGGTTTTTAACGTGGGGCCTCTCGCTGCCTCCTCGGAGCGCTTCAGACCCACGGACCGAGTGCTCACGGCTCTGAGACGGGAGCCCGTGCCCGGTGGTGCTAGGGACAGCTGGACTGTGGTGTGGCCACTGGCAAGCAAAGAAGCTGTGGGCGGGGTGGAGGATGACCCCAGAAGCCTGGTCTGGCCTTACTTGCAGGGTCTGCTCCTTGCACCTCGCTGTGATGCTTTCTGAAACTGCCTCTTTTTCCCCTTTATCCTCCCAAATATCACTCAGAAAGGTGGTTGTAATTTTTTAAATAGGAGATAAATGTGTCTTATTTTTTAATACATGGTAACTCTGAATTGATCGGAGAGAGCATTCATATTTTCTTCAAATAATCTGTCGTTGGATCAAACTGACAGCAAGTTGAAGGTAACAGGTAATTATTTGGAGGATGAAGGCTTGAGAAAATGGGGTTTAGAAAGTATACTGCCTCATATCTTTAAGTGCAAAAGCTGAGATTGACACGAATAATGGTACAAACCATATTCTACCATGGGATGTGAGCAGAGAGCCTTGGTTGATGTGGGGGACTGATTCTGGGCAGGAGCTGAATTAAGTCGGCATAGCCTGAGGGGGGGGAAGGGTAAAAATAGGGACTTTTTACCATCTTTAATTTTCCCTCAGCCTGAGGAAGGGCATGTGTGCCCAAAAAGCTTGCAGAAAAAAGGTTTTTTTTGTGACTTCTTAGTTGGTCTAATAAAAGGTCTAAGAGGATAGCAGGTATCCTCTCTGAACCAAGAGTTCTAGAGTTTCGCGTTATTTTTTGTTTCAGACCAACACAGCTACCAAAAATACATCCCTGAAAAAGTGACAAGTGGCATTTTTTTCCCTAGAAAGTTTGGTTTCTGTAGTCATGGATTATCCAGTGCCCTTTTCTCTCTTCCTCTTTCCACCGCTCTGCTCGGGCCACAGTTTGGGAAATCCTCCATATCTGAGAGTGCGCAGAAGCATATTTTAATTTTAAGCTGCAATCGGAGTAACCTCTAGAACTATAGTGGCTTGTCAGCTGCTAAATCTCCTTATGGAGCTGTCCAACATCCATGAAGAAGAACTGAGTCTGTGATTTGGCTCTACACACATTCCCCATATCTGTGACCTCTTAGTCATGTTCCTGTCACAGTCTGATGCCAAAACTACAAGGAAGAGTAACAAAAGACTATTATACGTACTGGTGCAGCACTAAGCACCTTAACACAGAGCTGACATACAGGGCTGCAGTGGAAGCCAAAATCAGGGCTATTCTGTTTATATGAAGTTTTTAGCTTAAAAATTGTGACCAGCCTAGCTGCACTAGCATAGACTTGGTATTCGTGGTGTTGACACTGGGTTGTATAAACCAGAATTCAAAATGACTGGTTGGTAAAACTGCTAGCAGCTAGTTTGTGTTAGCAGTGTCACCAAAGGAGCTATACTACTGGTGGGAGGTTTTTCTTTTTAAAGCTCAGTGTTGACAGAATTTTGCTATATTCAGTCTTTTTGCCTTTGTCCCAGTGATTGGGATATTTATAAAGTTAACCCACTCCATTAAATTTTCCAGGCTGTACCAAAAATTAAAATGTTTCTGAGTAACTGAAGCTATAAGCCTGAGTTTTAGATTTCTAGGAGTCAAATCTGACAGAAGGTGCTCAGCCTGAAACCTTTTTATAAATAAGGGCTTACTGGTAAAAAAAAAAAAAAAAAAAAAAAAAATCCATTACACATTTTTAATTGCATATAGCATCTTCCATAAAAGTTATTATAGACTACTTTATGAAGTTGAAAGTGTGGTTAGCACTGTATGAGGCACAAGGTGCCTGCCTTTCACTCTTTTATTCTTTAAATAATTTAACTGGAGTGTGGCAGTGCACCTTTGGGTGCCTGGCACTTTAAGGACAGAGTCGGGCAGCAGCCAGGTGCCTGATGAAGGCAGCCATTTTGAGCACGAGGCTTATAAAGGCTGCAGTTTGCTGCTTCCAGCCCAGACAAAAACATCGCCTGGCTGAGCTGCATGGAACATCTAGCAGGTAGGAGCAGGAGGCTCTTGGTCCTGGGCATAACCTAAAAAAACTGCACCCTGCCAGGGAAGGATGGCCTGGTGGGGCTCCTAGTGGTGTGGGGGCCCCCAAGAAAAGCCAGGCCAGTTACGTCCCTGGTGAAAGGTGAGGAGGGGCACCCTTAACCCCAGCCCTCATCTTTGGGTGGGTTTTGGAGGCAGTTGTGGGGTCAGGCATGGCAAGTGCAGTGCCACCTGAGCCTATGGGGGTGGTAGACCCCGAGGCCCTGAAGGAGGGTGGCACAGAGTAGGGCTGTAGGCCTGAAGGACTGTGCACGAAGGGCGCGTTGAGTAGGGCCAAACAGGTAGTAGGCCTGAAGGACAGTTCCAGGGGCACGTTGAATAGGGCTGAACTGGGAGTAGGCCTGAAGGGTAGTGCAAGGGCCAGCCTATTGAGTAGTCAAGTGTAAGGATGTAGTTGAGTGCGAGGAGGATGAGAAGTCCCCCGGGTGGGGTGTGGTGTAGAGGCCCTAGAGTGGGCACAGTCAGAACCCCAGGAGTGGGGAGTAGGCTAAGGTATGTCTTCAGATGCCTGAGGCTGTAGTTGGGTGAGAGGCTGAGTTGGGGGCTCAACCAGAGAGTTAGGGGCGAGTCCTGACTCCGGTAAGTCCTTCGCTGCAAGGAGGTCGAGTTGTGGGTCAAAAGAAAGACCTAAAGGTTAAGCACAATGACCTGCTGCTCCAGGGTCCCACAGGGACTCTGTGAGACCCTGGAGCAGCAGTCGTGGTGTAGGTTATTGTCACGGCGGGGTCCTGCAGGAGGGCC